TAAAAATAGGGTGCGTATATCTTTTTGAACAAATGTTTTGTTTTCTTTGGGTAAATATACCAGTGGAATTACTGGATCATATGGTATTTCTATTTTTGACTTTTTGAGGAAGCTCCATACTGTCTTCCATCGTGCCCACACCAGTTCACATTCCCACCAACAGTACATGAGGGCTTCCTTTTTTGTACATCCTTGTCAACACTTTTTGTTTCTTGTTTTTTTGATACAAGTCATTCTGACAACTGTGAGGTGATATCTCACAGTGGTTTTGATTTGCATTTCCCTGATTAGTGATGTTGAGTGCCTTTTTATGTGCCTGTTGGCCATCTATACGTCTCTAGAAAAATGTCTATTTAGATCCTCTGTCCATTTTTAAATCAGATAAATTGTGGGTTTTTTGGTGTTGAATTTTAATAAGTTCTTAATACATTCTGGATGTTAGTCTCTTATCCGATTTATCATTTGCAAGTATCATCTCCCATTCAGTATTTTGCCTTTTTGTTTTATTGCCTATTGTTTGTTTTATCAAGCTTTTTAGTTTGATGTAGTCCCAATAGTTCCTTTTTTCTTTTGTTTCTCTTGCCCAAGCATATCCAGAAAAAGTTGCTAAGGCCAATGTCCAAGTGATTACTACCTATGTTTTCTTTTAGGAATTTTCTGGTTTCAAGTCTTACATTTAGCCTTTAATCCATTTTGAATTTATTTTGGGGTATGGTATAAGAAAGTAGTCCAGTTTTATTCTTTTTCATGTAGCTGTTCAGTTTCCCCAAAACCATTAATTGAAGAGATGGTCTTTCCCCATTGTTTATTTTTGTCTCCTTTGTTGTAGATTAATTGACCATATTAACTATGGGTGTATTTCTGAGCTCTCTAACATGCTCCATAGATTTTCGTGTCTGTTTTTGTGCTAGTACCACACTGTTTTGATTACTATAGCTTTGTATTACAGCTTGAAATTTGGGATTGTGATACCACCAGCTTTGTTCTTCTTTCCTAACATTGCTTTGGCTATTTCAGGTCTTTTGTGGTTCCATACAAATTTTAGGATTGAGTGTTCTAGTTCTGTGAAAAATACTGTTGGTAATTTGATAGGGATGGCATTGAACCTGTAGATTGCTTTGGATAGCATGATCATTTTAACAATAGTAATTCTTCCGATCTATGAGCATGATTATTTTTTCACTTATTTGTGTCATCTTCAATGTCTTTCATCAGTGTCTTGTAATTTCTAAAGTACAGGTCTTTCACCTTCTTGGTTAAATTAATTTCTAGGTATTTTATTCTTTCCGATGCAATTGTTAAATGGGATTATTTTTTTATTTTCTCTTTCTGCTACTTTGTTATTAGTGTATAGAAATGCAATAGATTTCTGTATATTAATTTTGTATCTTGCAACTTTATTGAATTCATTTATTAATTACAGCAAAGTGTTTTTGAGAGATGCTAATCTGGAATGATAATATCAAAGGCAGAAATACTGGTTCCTATCACTTCCTACCCTCCCAACCACAAAGTATCACACAGTTTCCAAATTTTGCATCAAAGGGAGGGAGCTTCAGAAGCTAGGATGAATGGTATCTAAGGTGATTTAATTTTGAGGTTCCTGTCTATTTTGAGGATAGATCCTGGAAATGTTATTTATGTTGCCTTCTTTTAAGATCGCCCTTTATTTTATCCTCTCCTCCCAATGGTCCTTAGAGAGCCCAAATTCATGTGGCCAGTAGTATTCTAGAAAAAGTCTTAGTTAATGGTCGTGGAAATTTATTATAGGTAATCCAATTGTTCTTTATTTGCTCCTTTATGAAACTTAGGCAGAATGCCCCAGACCCTTAGTGTTCAAAAGGGAATGCATATTGAGACTTTTGAAAATTTCCCAAATTTGAAAATATTCCTGTAGAAAATGATTATCCTCCATAAAAATATAGTATAGTATGACTTTAGGGGAGTCACTGCTTGCCATGAGCCGAAGAGGTTGGAATCTATTGGAAGGCAGATTCTAGGCAGATAGCTAGGCTCACTTTCCAGCTAAATGACCCACCTCTGCACACTTACAAGTGATTTTAAGTTATCTGCCTTCAAGATTGTTTTTAATGTTTACAACACAGAATGTTAATGCCAGGAATCTATTGTACAGATTTCTTAAGACCATTTGCGAAGAAGCTAAGGGGCTTTTTCCTTCTGCAGTTTCGGCTATCCTGATCCTGATTATTTGAAACGTGTTAAACAGGAGCTGAAAGATAAAGGAATTGAGTAAGAAGACTGCCGGAAGGATGTCTTGAGCCAAGCTTTCAAAAGACACAGTTGAAGAAACATCTTTAAAAATGTTTTCATCTCAAGAAGTGGTCTGTTTAAGAGTAAGAATCTACTCGTCCATCATTTCTGGAATGTTACTTTTTAAGGAAGGGGCACCTGGGTGGCTCAGCTGATTTAACATCCAACTTCTCCTCAGGTTGTGATCTTTCGGTTCATGAGTTTGAACCCACATTGGGTTCTCTGATGTCAGTGCAGAGTCTGCTTCAGATCCTCTGTCCACTCTTCTCTCTTTGCCCCTCCCCTGCACTCTCTCTCTCTCTCTCTCTCAAACATAAACATTAATTTTAAAAAAAAAAAACCTCCAAAATCAGTGTGATTTTGCTGCAGAGGCGTTGTGCCTCATACTTGTATCATCTTTGGGGGAGCAGGGAGTGGAGTGCTGGGGTCTGAAATCATCTGTGTTCTTCAGCTGAAATAGCTGTCAGTTGATCCTCTTTTTACTGCCATCTCTGAGATAGCCTTTTGGTGTTCTTGTTTGTTTTCTCTTTACCCTAAAAGTAAAATCCTAGTACAAATGACAGGGGAAAGGGCTTTGGTTATGGAAAATTAGAAACATGCATTCCCCTCCATCCCTCATGGCCAGAAAAGTGGCCAGAAGCAGAGATTGGGCAACCTTTGGTAATAAGTGGAACAAGTCTATTATTTTTCACAGTACAGAGCCTGGTGGTATACAGTTGGTGCCTCATAATGTTTTGCTGCCTGACTCAGGTTGCTAATAACTCAGCAGAGGGATATATGCTCCCTAAATCTTTGACAGAGGCAGGAGTAAGGAAGCCATAGCTGGAGACCTTACGACTAATGTGGAAAACTGAGTTTCTTTACTCCAGAATACTTGACCTCTAAACTCTGAACTCTGAGCAAACTCTAACCTGGTCTTTGTTCCCTCCTGATCCTTATAATCTGCCATATGGGATGCATTTGTCCTGTCATACTAATGCTACACATTTCTGAACATTTCCCCCCCTCTGGATATTATTATACTTTTTAAGTATATCCAGCTTCCAGTTTTAGCAGATAAATAACCTTACCTTGTTTCCACAGACTATCATTCTGTCAGTTATATAGCCCTCATAATAGTAGTTTTTCCCTTCTTTTATGAAGTCCCACCAAATCATGTTTTCTTCCTTAAAATCTCTCTCCCTGGTATTCTCTCTGGACAGAGACAAGGCAAGTTGAGCCTACTATTAAGAAAATTTGACATATCACAATGCACTTTTAAGTGGTTTTCCAAGTCAGAAGAAAATTATACTAGCAAATTTTCTGGTTATCCATGTCCCAGCCCCTCTCCAAAAAAGATGAAGAAGTCTTTTTCTTTTCCTAAAGATACACATACACACACATGTACATTTTTTATAATCAGATGGTAATAGCTAATATTTATTATGGATTTATTTTATCCTCTTTATAAGAGCTTTATACCTGGGACTAATACTATTACTAGCCCCGTTTTATAACCGAGAAAACTGATGCATAGAGAGGGTAAGTGACTTGACAAAGGTCACACCGTTTATAAGTAGAAGTTCTGGGATTTGAAAAAGGTAGTTTGGCTCCAAGACTTCCGCACCCCAGAGCTACCCTGCCTCCTACAGGAGACTTTCCTGGGGAGCAGACTGAGGAGTTCCCATTATTCTGGGCTTCTCAGAAATGGATCCTGCATAGAGCTCAATGTAGATTTCCTCCAAGGAGGTCCTATTTGAAGAACTTAAAAACCCAGAATCTTTTCCTTTGTCCAGAGAGTTAAATGATATGTCTCTTTTTAAAAAATCAGATTATACATCTAGTTGTTTTTGATTCAAGTTTTTACTGTTATGACTGTTTTGTGTCTCCTGATCTTTTGGCTAAATTTTCTTTAAAAAAGCAAAAGTCTGGTTCCCGCTAAGTTCTGGATCCTTGATTGCAATGTGCGTGCAAAGACAAGTTCCATGGTGCAAGTGGTTGGAGGGCCTTTGAATTATCACTCTTGTTCTGTGACGGTATTATCATATGTATCTGCTTCATTATTATTTTTTTTTTGTATCTGCTTTAAATAAGATTATATGCAGGGTGCCTGGGTGGCTGAGTTGGTTAAGCCTTCGACTTCAGCTGAGGTCATGATCTCATGATTCATGAGTTTGGGCTGTGCATCGGGGTTTCTGCTGTCAGCACAGAGCCCACTTTGGATCCTCTGTCCCCACCCCTCACCCCTGACTCTCTCTGCCCCTCCCACGCTGGTTTTCTCTCTCTGTCTCTCTCCCTCTCTCTCTCTCAAAATAAATAAATAAATAAATAAATAAATAAATAAATAAATAAAGTTATATGCATATTAAGAACAGATTGTGTTCTTTCCCTACTCCTTTTTTGTTTTCCCTTAGGATGAGATTCTGGGTGTTTTCTACAACATAAACAGTGTACAAGAATATACCATGTGTGCAGATGCCTGCAGTTGATTTTGTGTGTAGCTCTACATGCTAAGTAGTATCACAGCAAAATGTAACTATAATTGACTTCACAGCTGCCACTTTCAGCCAGGAAAATCACATTGCTTAGAAGAACACATAAGTTATTACAAAGATTAAGTAGGCTGCAGGCTTCATCTCTTCTCTCCTTCTAGAGAAAGCATATGCAATACCCTATCAAACTACACTTGCCCCCTCCTTGTTCCTAGAGTTTCTTTTCTGCCTTTCCAGCATCAGTGCTGAAATACGAAGATGGCTCACTGGGTACCAGCAAATCAGGGCTCCCTTCTCTCCAAAAGAAAAAGACAATTGAAAATAGTATCAAGATATTTGATGTTTTTCGGGGTGCCTGGGTGGCTCAGTTGGTTGAGTATCTGACTTCAGCTCATGATCACATGGCTCATGAGTTGGAGCCCCACGTAGGGCTCTGTATTGATAGCTCAGAGCCTGGACCCTACTTCGGAAACTGTGTCTCTGTCTCTCTCTGCCCTTCCCCCACTTGTGCTCTTTCTCTCTCTCAAAAGTTGATAAACATTAAAAAAATGTTTTAAAGATGTTTGATGTTTTTTAAAGACAGAAAGCTCTGCACCCAATTTCTATGTGTGGGTTTTCCCTCCATACATCCAAGCAATTATCTGACACCAATTGGATGAAGCTCAACTCAATTCTGATATTCTCTACCCAGAGACATCATCAGATTCTACAGGTTAAGAGCTCAGTCCCACAAGACTTCCCTCCATTTCAGATGCCAAGGATGTTACCTGTGCTTTTGACTGAAAGGTTATAAATCTCTGGTTCCTCATGACCCTCTCCTTTGGTTCAGTTAATTTGCTATAACAGCTCACGAAACTCAGGAAACCAGTTTACTCATTAGATCACTGGTTTATTATAAAAGGATATGACTTACCAACTTCCAGATGGAAGAGATCCATAGGGCAAGGTATGGGCAAAGGGCATGGAGCTTCCTCACCCTCTAAGAGAACCACTGTGCCCAAATCTCCACCTGTTCACTCATCTGGAAGCTCTACAAACAAACCCCATCCTTTCTAAGTTTTTATGGAGCCTTCAAAACATAGGCAAAAGACCAAACCATTGGCTGGGTCAGGATTGAAGTCAACCTCCACCCCCTCACCTCTCCCCAGAGGTCAGGGGGGTTGGAACAGAAGGTTCCAATCCTTTAATCCTAGAGTTGGTTCCTCTGGCAACCATCCTTAGGTCATCTCATTAGCGCAACAAAAGACATCTTTATTGCTCTCAGCCTTTAGGAAATTCCAAGAGCTCTAGGAGCTCTGTGCCTGAAACAAAGACTAAATACATCACAAAGAGCACCAAAGCAGTCCTTTAGGAGAAAAACCAAACCTTTGTTGGGCTTCCTTACATTTATCTTATGGATTACTACTGTTATCGCTTTGATTTCCCTGTAGGAGTTGGGCACTATTTCCTTTACTGTGGATTGGGGTCCTGAGTCCTCCAAAGCACACAGCCTTAAGGCAAAAATCAAACTGTTAACAGTTTGTTTGGGAGATGCAGCCCAGGTTGGGGAATGCAAGGACAACAAAAAGGAAAGCCAGGCAAACCAAAGAACAATTCGGTGCAATGCAAGTTACTGTCCAGGCCACAAAGAGCCTTGAAAAGATACAGCACTCAGCAGCTTCATTCACTTGGCAAATGAGTTGAAAGAGAATATAGAAAGCAATTTAAATGTCTTATTTCATAGAGGAAGAAACTCAGTTTTATTTCCTGGGAAGATGACAGTGTAAAATATATTACACTTATAACACAACTGTAGCCTTACTGGCACCTTTGACTTCTCCCTCTCCTGCTTCCTGCATATCCATCATCATATCTGTAAAAACTCCCTTGGGTAAAGGTGAGAGGCTTGCAAATGTGGAAATACCAACCATTGTTTGATCTCAAACTCTATTCGGGTAAAAGGTCAGGGGTTGAGCCACCTACCTCCTCCTGGCTGGAGCAAGCCCCTGAGATGTAAATCTTTAGTGAACATTGTGATTAGAATGGTCAAACATGTTCTTCAAGCAACTGTTAAGCAACCCCCACCTCTAACCGCAGAATTCTCGCTTCTGTACACCGGCTTCACCCCTATCCCTATATAAACCCTGAGCTATGGCTTGGTGGGGTGCTCTTCTGAGGACTCTTCTAAACCTGAATAACCAACTCCTTTTGTGTTTTGTGGGCTTTGTCCTTGGTGATTCTCCTTTGGAAAGGGAGGTCTTAACAATATCCATCCCTGCCTCTCCTTCACTTCACATCTCCCAGCCTACTTGGCAGCTTCATTATTTTCTCTCCAGAATGAATAAAATACCCTCTAATGACTTTCTCTGCCCTCATCCCCCCCTCTCCTCCTGTCACTTCAAACTGCCCTTTGAAAAACAATACCTCTGATCTCATCATTCCTCTGATAAGATGCCTTCAGTTACTAACTCCCTTATGCCTGGAGCAGTGCTTCTTCAACTTGACCTTGGATCAGAATCACTGGAGGGCTCAATAAAACACAGACTGCTAAGACTCGTCCCCTTCCCCCAAGTTCCTAACCCTGTAGATATGAGATTGGACTCCAGACTTTGCATTTCTGATAAGTTCCAGGTGATGCTGATGCTGCTGACCTGGGGACCATGTTATGAGGACCATTAGCTGAGAACAGAGTTCAAACTCCACAGCATGGCCTTGGGGATTTCTCATTCTATTTCCACTTCCCTCATGTCCCTCCTCTCCACCAAACGCCTGTGGTCTGCTCACACCAGACTACCAGCTTTCCAAGCCACAGTCTATACCTTTGCTTCTTCTGGACCTGTTCTCTCTCTCTGGAATGCTCCTCTGCTTCATTCTCCATTTAAAAATGCCCTACTCTTCACTCAGGTCTCACTCAAATGCCACTATTATGGGGACTTTCCTCCAACCTTGCCTTCAAATTACAAATCCCCTATTTCCTTGTGTCCTAATACTTCATATATAATCTTTATTAATACAGATGTGATATCAAAATCCACTCCCTTGGGACCGAATCAACCCCATTCTGTGCCCTTATTGTTGGTTACGTTCAGCAATAGAAAGTAGCAGCAAGAGATAGGAAGGTAGGGGGAGCCAGAGGTCGGGGGACTTATTTCCCTTGCTGTCTCTGGAAAACAGCCATGATTCCCCTGGAATGACTTTCTCCTGTAGGTATATGGCTCATATCCAGTTTGAAGCCACTGCCTCCGCCCCTCTGGCCAACTTAGTAGTCTTTAAGTTTTAGCAAGCACCTCTGGCCCGTGTGATTGATTAACTAAACCCTTCTTGGTATGTCTATAGATCATGCATTGTTTCCTAGAAAGACTTGGAACCAAACCCTCTTGTACAGTCTGGCCAGCTCCTGGCACCAAAACACAACCTCTGATTACCCACCGTGAGAACTTCTGTGGCTGGCACCATTGAGTCTGCATGCAATCAAGAAGTGTTAAGGGGCACCTGGATGGCTGAGTCCCTTAAGTTTCCGACTTTGACTCAAGTCATGATCTCATGGTTCCTGAGTTTCAGCCCTGCATGGGCTCTTTGCTGTCAGCATGGAGCTCACTTTGGAGCCTCTTTGCCCTTCCCCCCTCCCCCCTGCACCCCTTCCTCCTTTCCCCGACTAGCTCTCTGTCTCAAACATAAATAAAAATTAAATTAAATCTTAAAAAAGGTGTTACAGACTACAGACCACTGTGATCTCTTTTTACTGATTAACTTCCCTTTTAGTTTCTTTAAAAATCTACTGACCAGGCAGAAGCCTTGAAGTTGGTTTTCAGACAAGAGTCTGCCTTCTTCCCAGGTAGACAGCTTCCTAAATAAAGCTTATATTCCTTTTCAATCAAAACTCCTCTCTTGAGTATTGGCCTTTCTAACCAAGGGCAGCCGAACTTGGATTCTTGTAACAGGTTCAGTACACACTCCTCTCCCTTCAGCCTAGATGGTAAGGGGAGAGTGAGGCTGCTTCAATATTTCTCACTGATTTCTCTTATCCCTTTGCTTCCACCAATATAAGTAATATGTTTACTAAACTCTCTTTGATTACCCATTTTGAGTATACAGGTGACCCGAACCCCTTTAGAAAGTTCACCTTTATTTATTTATTTTTTTAAAGTAGGCTCTACACCCAACTTGTGGCTTGAACTTAGGACCCTTGACCTTAGGGGTATGTTCCACCCCACTGAGTCAGCCAGGTGGAAAGTTCACCTTTACAGATAATTTGCTTTTATGACAGACCTACATTAGTACCTGTTTTCACTACTGGAAAGAAATTCGAAGGGTATCTCATACTTTTTCTCATTTAATCTCCATTATAATATAAAGTAGCTATGCCTACTGTTAACAGATGCAATCGACTGGGATCCCACACCTGATGAATCGCAGAGCTCAGAATCTGGACCCCAAATTTGTGACAAATCTGTCCCAAATGGGTGCTACAATCTTTAGACAGCTGTTTGCAACCTCAAGACCACAACGTAGGCAGAAGTGCTTTTCATAGAAAAGAAAGTGAAAGAAAAGGTACAAGCCGGTTGGGTAGGTCCGGGGCGGTGACAGTGACCAGCGAAGCTGGGGAGAGCTGCGCCCTGCTTCTCAGGGCCTGGACACGCGAAGAATTTGGGCACCAACTTGTGACTGTGCGAACAGAGCCCAAGAGATCGAGAGGCCCGGAGCCTGAGGTCGGCCAGGAGCGGGGCAGCCAGACCCGCTTCCTGGCCCCCTTCCTCCGGGAGGATGGTAAGGGGAACCACCAGCGGGGGTGCGGAGGGCGGCTCGCGACACTAGCACCCGTTGCGGAGACAGCTCTGCCTTTGAACGCTCTCTTTCTAGGCAAGAGCTTACCGCCGGTCTTGATCCGGAAGAGAGTAGGATGCTGGACATCATTTTTCTTGGAATCTTTGGTCTCTTTGCCCTTAATTTTCAAAAATTCCTTATAAAATAGGCATATTAATCTTTCATCTGTGATAATAATATTATCACTACTATAACGTTATATTATGTTATCCTTTCAGTTTGTCATTTGTCTTCTGAGTTTGCTTATGGTGGTTTTTTCCCTCCATGCAAACGGTTTTTATTTTTATTGGAGAGTTTACTAATCTTTTATTTTACTGCACTTGGAATTTGGGGCATATTTTAAAAGCTTTCCTCATTGCCCAGGTTATAGTCACGCATTTTACTTGTAATGCTTTATTTTTTACATTAGATCTGTGATACATTTGGAGTTTATTCTTGTTTACGATTTGAGGAATGGATCAAACTTTATCTTTTTCCCAAATGGAATCCAGTTGTCCAAGCACCATTTATTAAAAAGATTAGCACTGCCTCAGTAACTTGAGATACCTTTGTCATATACCAGATTTGTATAGGTGCTTTGGCTGTTTCTAGAACTTCTGTTTTATTCCACTGACAGGTTTATTCATCTGTTGCAGAGATGCTTTATTACATATTTTAATGTCAGGACTAGTTCTCCTAAAAGCTCTTCCTTCCTGCTGTGTTCCTAGCTCTTCTTATGTGCTTATCTTTACTTATGAACTTTAGGATTGACTTCTGATTTGTGATGGGCATCAAAAAAAAGTTTATTGGGATTTGAACTGGATTTGCATTAAACTTATAAATTAGACAGCTGACACTTTGAGAGAGTGTTGAGATGGTCTAACCAAGAACAAAAGATTCCATTTCGTTTGTTCAGGTTTACTTTTGTGTCTTTAAAGAGTGTTTATAGGGGCGCCTGGGTGGCTTAGTCGGTTAAGCGTCGACTTTCGCTTAGGTCATGATCTCGCAGTTCGTGGGTTCGAGCCCCACGTAGGGCTCTGTGCTGACTGCCAGTTCGGAGCCTGGAGCCTGTTTCAGAGTCTGTGTCTCCCTCTTTCTCTGACCCTCCCCTGCTCACGCTGTCTCTCTCTCTCTCTCCTAGAAATAAATAAAAACATTTAGGAGTATTTATAGTTTTCTTACATAGAATATTTCTTGTTAAGTTTGTTTCTAAATACTTTATCTTTTTTTTCCTATTATAAATGAGATTTTTCATTCATTGTATCTTCAATTTTGTATATGAATGCTATTGAGTTCTTTGCATTTTTAAAAGTAAAGTACAATTTATATACAGCATATTTATAATTTTTAGTGTACAGTCTGTGAGTTTTGACAAATGTATACAATCATGTAACAACCACAAGATATAAAAGAAAGATAGAAAAAAGAGTTTCATCACTCCCCCAAAATACCCACCAGTTCCCTTGGAATCAAGTTCACTCAAGCTGAGCCCTTGGCAAATACTTGTCAGATTTTGGTGCTGATAGTTCCAGAATGTCATATAAGTGAAACTATACAGCACATAGTCTTTTGAGACTTGCTTCTTCCACTTAGCAAAAGGCAGTTGAGTTTGATCCACATAGCTGGACCTATCACTAATTTGCTATTGCACTCTAATTTAATTCCACAGTAGTTAGCGAACATGCTTTGTGTTATTTGAATCCTTTTGAATTTATATATTAAGATTTGTTTTCTAGACAAATATGGACCATCTTGCTTGATACATTCTGTTGTTGGGTTAAGTGTTCTATCGATTAGATTAAGTTGGTTGAAAGTGTTGTTCAAGTCCTTGTGTCCTTACTTACGTTATGACTAGTTGTACTGTCAGTAATTGAGAAAGGACGCTGAAATCTCCAAGTATAATTATAGATTTATTTCTCCTTGGAATTCTATCAAGTTGGGTTTTATATATTTTAAAGTCTGTTATTAGCTGTACACATGCCTAGGATTGTGAATTCCCCTTGGTGAATATATTTATTTGTCACTCCAAAAATGTAGAATAAATGTTCTTATATTTATAAGCATTTATAAATACATAAATATAGAATATCTTTATAGTAATATAGATTACAGATGTTACATTATAGATTACAGATATTATATAATATACTGATATATATTTATAGAAATATATAAATATAGAACTTTTATTCTATTACTTTTAGAGTGTTTAAAGTTAACATTTTTTTAATTTAAAAAAACTTTTCAACGTTTACTTTTGAGAGAGAGACAGTGTGAGTGAGGGAGGGGAAGAAAGAGAGAGAGAGACAGAGAGAGACAGAGAATCCAAAGCAGGTTCCAGACTCTGAGCTGTCAGCATAGAACTCCACATGGAGCTTGAACCCACGAGCTGTGAGATCTTGACCTGAGCTGAAGTCCATGCTTAACTGACTGCCCAGGCACCCCAAAAGTTAACATTTTTAACTCATCAGGGTCTAATCTGATTATGGTTAGGTGTTGATTATGAGGTCTGAACTTAAAATCTATTTTTCTTCATAATAAAAAGTAACTTTCCCAGCAATATTTCACTTTCTTATTCCTCTTAATACTTTATGCTAAGCTCTTTGATAAATTAAGGTTTATATCTGGGATTTCTATTATATTTCCTGTCACATCATCTATTCTTAATTTAGAACTATTTAGCTTTAGGGGCGCCTGGGTGGCTCAGTCGGTTAAGCATCCGACTTCAGCTCAGGTCATGATCTCACGGTTTGTGGGTTCGAGCCCCACATCGGGCTCTGTGCTGATGGCTCAGAGCCTGTTTCAGATTCTGTCTCCCTTCTCCACTCATGCTCTGTCTCTCAAAACTGAATAAAGGTTAAAAAAAAAATTATAAAAAGAACTATTTAGCTTTATAATTACTACTTAAAGACGTATTTTAAAAATTGGGTGGAAGATACAGAAAGTTCCCATATACCACCTGGCCCCCCTCAAATTCCCCCATTATCAATATCTCACACCATAGTGGTACACTTGTTACAATTGGTAAATCTACATTAACGTGTTATTATCACTCGAAATTCATAGTTTTTTTTTTAATTTTTTTATATTTTTTATTTATTTCTAGGAGAGAGAGAGCGACAGCATGAGCAGGGGAGGGTCAGAGAAAGAGGGAGACACAGACTCTGAAATAGGCTCCAGGCTCTGAGCTGGCAGTCAGCACAGAGCCCGACGGGGCTCTAACCCACGAACCGCGAGATCATGACCTAAGTGAAAGTTGGACGCTTAACGGACTAAGCCACCCAGGCGCCCCTCGAAATTCATAGTTTACATTAGAGTTTATTCTAGGTATACTACATTCTATGAATTTTGACAAAAGTTTAGTAAACATATATCCACCATTATAGTATCATATGAAATAGTTTCACTGCGCAAAAACTCCTCTGTGCTCTGCTACTCATCCTTCCCTCTCCTCTAATCTCTAATACCCACTGATTTTTTTACTGTCTCCCTAGTTTTGCTTTTTCCAAAATATTATGTAGTTGGAATCATACGTTAGCCTTTTCAGATTTGGCTTGTTTCACATAGTAATATACATGTACATTTACTCCATGTTTTTTCATGGCTTGAGAGCTCACTTATTTTTAGCACTGAATAATCTTCATTGTCTGGATGTCCCAAGGTTTATTTATCCATTTACCTATTGTAGAACATCTTAGTTGCCTCCAAGTTTTGGCAATTATGAAAAAAGTTGCTACAATCATCCATGTGTAGGTTTTTGTGTAGACATAAATTTCTAACTTGTTTGGGTAGCTACCAAGCAACATGATTGTTGGATTGTATGGGAAGCATATGTTTAGTTTTGTAAGAAACTATCAAACTGTCTGGCAAAGTGAATGCCATTTTCATTCCCACCAGCAATACATGAGAGTTCCTGTTGCTTCACATCCCTTGTCTGCATTTGGTACTGTCACCACTGCATTAGGTGTGTAGTCGTATCGCATTGTTATTCTGTTTCCCCCTCTCTGTCCCTCCCCCACTCCTGCTCACACTCTCTCTCAAAAATAAATAAAACATTAAAAAAAAAGTCAGACACTCAACCGACTGAGCCACCCAGGAGCCCCTAAAATAATTTTATTGAGATATAACTTACATGCCATAAAATTCACTCTTTAAAAGTGTACAAGTCAGTGATTTTTAGTGTATTCATAGTGTTCACTGCTACCTATTTTTAAAAGTTTTCATCATCCCAAAGAAACTCCATTTGCATTTGAAGTCACTCCCCTTTCCCTCCTCCCCACAGATTCTGGTAATACTAATATATTTTAGTCTTTGTGAATTTAAGTGTTTTCCTAAGTAGTTGTATCATTTTATATTCCTTATCAGTCCCGTCAACCATCTTATAACAGATTTTTCCCTGTCAGTAACAGAAACTTCTTTCTTTTCAGTAATGAGTTGTAGCTCTATTAATTGACATCATTTATTGTCATGTTTGTTTGTTCGTTTTTCCTTGTGATTTGGTGAGAAGACCTGACCTTACAAAGAATATATTAAATTTTACACAATCATTTAGCCAGAGTTACTATTTTCTCTCTTTCCTCCTTCCTTCCTTCCTCCCTCCCTCCCTCTCTCTCTATTTTTTCTTTCTTTCTTTCTTTCTTTCTTTCTTTCTTTCTTTCTTTCTTTCTTTCTTTCTTTCTTTCTTTCTTTCTTTCTTTCTTTCTGGCAATGAGTGAATCTATTTTCTTTCAAAACATTTAAAACATTGGAAAGTAATATATAAGGCCAAAGCCTTTCAAATCTCAAATCAGATATAAAAACTAACATCGTAAGCATTCTTGTCTCCTTAAAAATTGCTAAGTTGGAAGACCTCAGTACAAAGTAACACTTTTCAGAAGACTGGAAAAAATGGATGAAATGGAAGTGGATAAAATAGAGGAATTTTTAAAATACCCTCCACAAGCCTCTATTTTGATTGCATTTCA